TGTAAAATGGAGACAAGATGTTTGTCTGAGAGGGAGAAAAAGGGGCACTTGCTTTACAGGTCTCTGCCTAATCAACACAACCTGGAAGACCACAATAAATGTGTCGTCCTGACCACGCTCTCTGGACCTCAGTGCATCAACAGACTCTGCAACCTCTTCCTCCTCTCCCAGAGGTCTGGCTGCCTGTGCTGGAGGCCAGCTTTGACGTGGCACAGCTGCAGCCTTGAATCAGACTTGTGTGAGAAAGAGCCTTGCTGAGGACCTCCCCCCTTCACTCAGGAGCTGCACTTAAACTCAGGCCTTGCTCCTTCCTCAGATACTTCACAGATAGACTTCTGTGCCTGGTTGTATACCCTGATGATCCTCACTCACTGATTTGAATTCCTGGTTTGACATCATATTTATCTCATCACTATGGACTAGTCTGGCAACAAGAAGGCTGTAGGTTGGTCTCGTTACAGTCACTAGAGCTCTTCTGCTCTTCCTGCTCAGGAATTCCTAGTGTGGAATGTAGATTCACAGGGTTGGATCTTCAAACCTAGCCCCTTGTTGACAACACACGACATCTTTGTCCAGTTTAGAAGGGACCACAGAACATCTACTTCACGTTCCCCAAACACTTTCCTGCACCTTCTTGTATAGTTCACATGAGAAATTCAAAACAATATCAGGCTACAGAAAGAATCAGAAACTGAGAGTATCAACATCAAGTAAATCGTTGAATTGGCAGAACATTAAAAAATTCACTCTCATGTGGTTGAAAAATCTTTCATGATCCTAAAGAAAGTTTGGACAATTCAGTCCTGAGCATTTAAACAGGAGGATTTAATATCTCTAGGAAGGTGAACACACACTGCCTGCATTTTGCCTCAGCATCTGTTAGTGTTCAGTACTTAGTGGAAGTACCAAGGAGAAGAAATATTTTTCTGGGTGTCATAGATGACTAACAAAAGTCCTGAAATATGAGATTCATGCAAGGGAAGCATGGCAGAATCTACTGTCTTTTCTTTCAAAATCCCTTGAATGTGTAATATATAGACACCCAAAGCCTTTTAACACAGACACGATTTATTGTCTCCAGGAAATCTGTTTAATTAGGCAATTTTTGAAGTCCCATTTTTAAATAGTTTAGGTTCCTGGCTTACCTTACTCTTTGAATGGTTAGGAAAACTTTCTTTACATTCCAAATTTAAGTGATATGTATCCTTTACTTTTTTCCTCTCCTATCCCTCTTTGATATTTATCCTCTGAATTTATTTATAAAGAGGAATCATATTGCCTCTCAGCCTTTATTTGCCTCGACTAAATCAAACTCTGTTCTCTCCACCTAAAGACAGATATTCCATTTTCTCATTCATCCCAGGAGCCTTTGAGAACTGCATCTGTTCCAAATTACATTTATCTTTCTTGAGCACAGATGACCAGAACAGTATTCTTAATGAAGATTCAGCAGCATTTTATAAAATAATACAAACATTTTCCTCTCTCTACCAAAAATATGTTTTTTAATATTCCCTAGAAGAGTATTGAGCTTTTTCATAGCTGTATGAATAATGGTAGCTTAGAGTCACCTTTTGATTCACCATATAATTCACATCTTTTGTTTCTCCTCTCCTTCCCTCAAAATGATGCAAAATAAATACAGAATTAGAAGCTATTTCTTACACCTCACTACTTTGGTTCAGCTGACAATCCTTCTGAGGTGTGTCTCTCATAAATCCTTTTGCTTGGATGTTCTACTGCATCCATCCTGCTCTCTACTAAAATTGGGGGTTTTCTGACATTTTTCTTTTTCTATCCATATGTCAGCTTCTCAAATGGACCAAGCATTCTATAAAGAGAAGACTACTTCTGTCAGAATGTGATACCTTTTTTTTTTTTTTTTTTTATAATCCCTAGGATCCTTAAGAACAATTGACTAAATTTGAAGACACCTGCTGTAATGGGAACAGGGACAAGCTCCATACCTAATGGAAAAGGCATCAGAAAGCAACTTTCAATTTTTATGTAAAGATCTCATGAAATGGACTGTGTATTTATTGTGTGTCACTTCTCTCATCCAATATATACATGAGAAACTCAGTTCCTCATATAAACTTTATTCTATACCAATCCATACCTCTAAATAAGATCTCACATACCACATTACAACACCCTTCAGTGGAACTGCATGATTATGAGCCAAGAGAGACCTCTCAGAAGTGTCTGAACTTCTGAATTTCAGAGACCTCTCTGAAATAATTTTAATGTTCTGACCCCTGATCTGTGCATTGAAGATCTCGACAGCAGTTTACCAAGCCTTTTAAAATACTGTCTGATATACACATAGGTAAAAAATGAAACAGAAAGCAGACATTTGATGAGAATGTTTGCTCTAAGTAACTTTGCAGTTGTATCCATCAAAATAACGTCTATCCTTACCTATTTTAAAAGATCATTATTTCTTGTTATTTTCAGATGAGACTAACACATTGCCAGTTTCAAAAAGGTCTTTACATTTTATCTACAGCATTAAAATGTAAGGAGTTCATGGAGGCTTGCTTGGTTTTTAATTCCTTCTTGTTTCCTCAGAAATATAAATATATATTTCTGATATATTGTAATTTCATATTTGGAAATTGAACAAATTATGATATTGTAAAAATAAAATAAGATCCATTACCAAGAACAGCACAATAGCTTCTATAAAGAGAACTATCCATGCTTCTCAGCTATCCTTTTCCTTTACTTGTTTGCTGGGGCCAGGGATTTTTTGCTAAATGAAGCAGTAGTGCCGGAAGGCAATTCTGCTTAGTTCTTATTCACATAAAGCCATTTGAAGAAGTTTCATTCATTGGTATTAATTTCCAAGATCCTTGTATGAAACAGAAAGGCAAATTATCAAATTATTTGAAAAGGTATTCTCCCCCTATTATAGTACCCACATTCTGATTCTACTTGGTTAAAGTATTTTGTCTCAGAGACAAGAGCTTCAGGATGTTGCTGAAAGCTGTAGCTTCTGTCTTCTTCATCTGCCTTGCTATGCTGTTTGTATCTCTCCCCTGCACTCCTACCCTTTACATCTGGCAGTGGAATTTTCTTATCTTTCCCACTCTAATTCCATTTTAATTCTCTACATTATTTCTTTTAAATTTTCCCTGTGATTTTTCCTCTTTATTGTTTTCTCACCTCTTGACTAGTCCGAAATCTTATGATTTTTCTTCCTGATCATTTTTTCATCATCATTTGAGCTCCTCTCTCTTTTGGGCTTAATAACTTGCCATTTTATATCATGGCATTGTTTCCTGCTGTGTATACTCAAGATGAATCTGAAGATGAGACTCTATTACACTAAATTCAGTTTTTCAAGCATTCTAACAGTTCCTCTTACAATGTATCTTTTTCTACTCCTCTCAATAATTTTTTATTTTATTTTGCATTTTTATACCTAATTGCTATTTTTAATCCATACTTAAATCACTAGTCCTAACTCTACTTTCTTGTTTACTTGTGTTAACCCTACTGAACCCCATCCCCACTGGGAATTTTAGTGAGTTGATTTCTGAGATTTGATTTCAAGGCATGATTTAGCAACACAGGCTGGCTTCTTCTTTTTTTTTTTTTTTTTTTTTTTTTTTTTTTTTTTTTTTTTCAGGCCTTATGTGCTCTTCTGACTTAAGACCTCAGAGTAACTACCTGGCTACAAATACTTTTTAAGATGATACATTTATGTAGGTATTAATTCCAAAACCAAGAGAAATCATCTTAGGCCCAGGAAGGTTTGAAGTTCCGTATCACTTATGGAACACTTTGAGAATCCATTTTCTCCTGTGATCTTCAGCAATCTCCAGCAGCAGTTGCTAAAGATATAAAATGCAGTGCATTTATATATCAACTACCACTAATAAAAAAGCTGTCCCGCTTATTAAACAGAATTCTAAAATAGCATGGAGTCTCACCTGCTGTCCTGGCAAGAATTTTTCATGAATCAACATGACATGGAGAATATCTTTATTGTTTTAAACATGAATGCCAAAAATATCTAAGCATATATTATTAACTTAGCATAAAATGTCTAAAAACCAAGTATCAATTTTTATATAATCTGTCAATTCATTTAGATTACTTTTTTTTCTTTTCCAGAAACATGGCAGGAAATAGCTTACTCCTGTTAGAGAAAATAAAATCTACTATTATCCCAACAGTAAGAATGAGAAGAGGAAAATAAGTCACAGAGAAAATGTCCACACAAGAAAAAAGAATAATTAAACAAAAGCTTTTCCAAGTTTTAAGGAAAACTGGATTGCAAATGCAGGGTTCAGCAGATTTCAATCCTAAATGCTACGTACATAGAAGATTTTCCCATAACAAACTCTTGTACTTTACAATAGGAGTAAAAAGGAGGTCACCTTCCTCCTATTCTTTATAAGGCTCATCTGTCTAACAAATCTAATGTTGAACAAAGTCTGGTGTGGGTTTTCTTTCCAACGGTAAATACCAAACCTGCTGAAAACATTGCTATATTTCCCAAAAATAGTACATCTGCAGAGAGCAGAAATAAGTTCCCAAAACAGAGAATACCCAAAGCTAAAATTAGTAGATTTGCTTACTACCACTGGAAATGGAATTGTTTCACAATTCATAAAACAACTAAAATAAGACAGCAAATTCTTACTCAGTTTCTACTGCATCTCCACTCACATAAACTCCAATAAAGTAATATTAAGTTAAACTTACTTTTAATAAGATTCTAGGTAAAGACTGAACAATCAGCTCAGAAAGCCCTAACTATAGTGAAAATCTGTTTAGTAGAAAATATAATAAGCTTTCTACAGTATTAAGTTACTCGGAAGAATGTTGGATGTGGTGTTGGTTTCACTTACACGAGCATAATTCAGAAAGAATTCAGCTGAAGTAAATTAAATTCTTCCTATGAAAGACCAAAGATCAGTAAGTAGCAAAACTGTGGGGACTATGGTAACAGACTATTAATATTTCTTTGCTTTATAACACATCGAAAGTTATTCAACTTTCAGTCCTTTAGATTTTAATTATGCATGTAGGACCTGGCATAAACATTTCCCAAATTCCTCCATGATCATCCGCTCAGCTAGACAGTCAGAGTAATCTCTTTTTTCTGCCTCTTCAGCTTGCATCAGGAGACAAGTACATATTACTTTCACTTCTTCCCAAGATACACGTACAGCTGGTTTCCTGACAGAGGAAGGAAACTGGTATGAAATATCATCATCATTTTAAATACACAAAATAATTTCAAAGACAAACTGCAAAACTCATTTAAGAGCTGGAATGCACAGAGCTGAATCAGAGTACTTGCACTGTTACATCCTTGTAAGAATTTCACGGTTCTACACTGATTAGCTTCTGTCTCTAACAGAGTGCTTCTGAGTTTTTGTAATTTATCACATGGAAGGCTGTGTTCACGTTACATAATTAATCTGTCCTCCATCAGCATGCAATAGTCAGATCCTGCCTCATGTACAAATGTGTTAAAAAGGCATAGTTAGGGTCTAGGAGGCACTAAATGTAAATTCAGTCTACTGCTGTTAAAGGAAGCAGCACCAAGTCCTTCAAGGATTCCCTGAATGGCACCTTAGCAGTCTTGCTTTGAATAAACTCTTGAAACTACCAGTCATTAACATCATAATTCATTCTATTATATAATTATATAGTAATGTAACTCATCCTATGTGCAATTCAATCAAAGGCATAACTTGGCAACATCTACCCCATCAATATGCTACAAACTGCATAAATTATTAAAATATTTTTTAAACAGATCATCAGAAAACATTTTAAAAATGGAATTAAGAGTAGAATTTGAAGGTAATGGCTGATACAAAGAAAATGATGCATGCAACTGCAAATTTTAAAGCCTGGTGTAAAGCTCCCTAAAATCAATTAAGAGGTGTTTAACCAATTTTAATTATTATTAAATAATTATTATTAGGCAAATGACTATACAGCAACCAAAACAAGAGATTAGGCTACAACTATGTTAAAGAGCATAACAACATCAGGATAGTATGGCTGCCTTAGAATATTTTACAAACCACATTGCCAACACAAGTACAATTGACAGGTGTACTAAAGGAAGAAGTGCTGGGAAGGAAGCAGTGATATAAACATGCCTATTAACTGAATATCACAAACATAGTAATAACATCATTTTCTTAGTACTTCTTTGGTCAAGGTTTTGTTAGAAATGAATGCTTGAACATAAAAAAAAATAAGAACAGAGAAACTGAAGAAAAACAAAGTAGCTAAGGGGGAAAAATGCTGAGAGAATGAAATATGTGATAAATACATAAATAACCTCTGTTTTGTAAGCAGAACTAACACATATATCCCTGGACTCTATACTGTATTCTTACAGGATAGTTATAGCTTCTCCTTTAGATATTTACTTAGAGAAACAAGATAATACAATGTGAAGTGACTCCTTGTATATAAGCCATCTGTCAGTCACTAATTCTTAGATAATTATGATAATGGTTACATAAAAAATAATGAAAACAGACCAATGGATTATGCATAGCTATTTCCATATATTCACCTGTCTTTCCTCAATTTTGGTAAGGTTTTGAATGTTGATGTTAAAACGGGGCTATTTCCTTCATTATTTTCAATGTCCATGTAGTTTAGCACATTCAACTGTTTTTTTTCATCTGGACTTTCTTCATAATTTTTGCAACCAATGCATTTGCAAACAGAGGAACACATAATTTTAGCCTGGCAAATACAGAATACTTAGAATAAAAATTGTATAAATCTTAAATTAAACATACATTTGAGCAACCATTGGAGCTATACCACCAGGGACTTATTTTAGATGTGCTGGTCTTGGATACTCCCAGAGCAAGACCATCATTATAAATCCAGTAAGGAAGCAAGACAGGTTTTTATCCATGGGTTGTCTGCGGAGATTGATATTCTGTACGTGCACAAATCACTCCTCCCCTCAATTTGTGGATAACTTTGCAAGATAACAAAATAGCGTGGATGCAAAGAAACTATCAGGATTAGCAGAAAATCATCCCTCTTTTCTTCTGAAGCAAGGTATTAGGCGAGAGCTCCTCACACTGAAAATTTTAGCTGATCAACTCCTGCCAACTTCAGTACTTTTAAGACATGACAAGAAAGAGACTGTGACTTCTATGTTAAAAAAGTTTTGTGATGAAAAATGCAAAGAGAGAAGTTATTTTTTTTAGCAACTACTGGTTACAGAATATAGTCAATGTTAAGGTAGTAACTCAAGAAAGTTCCCCTGACTCACCTCAAAGCACTCACAATAATTCCTGAGGCATCCTGAGAACTTGCAATTACATCCTTTGTTACGGTGAGGTTTAATTTCTCCTAGTTTCCTTTTCCCAATCGTTGGTAAGAAAGCTTCTGGGTTTCTATTAAGACAGACCTAAACCAAAACTTCCTAGATTATGCAAAATTCAAAGAAATGTTTTTAAACACCTGAATGACTGATCCAATGTTTAACAAAGAAGTTCTTACTTTCCACTCTCATTATTGGTGGTATGCAGCCCATGGATAAAGGAGTCTTCTATGGCATTTGAGAGCAGGAATTCAAAGATTCCAGAACATTAAGCCGATGTGGCTCTACCATGGGAAGCAATTTACCTTGTTTTTATGGAATAACCTAAATGACCCATCTACTATTCTCCTGCAGCTGGTTTTCTTTTACTGCTGACATGACTTTCACCAGAAATAAAAAGCTGTCAGTGAAGGAAAAAACCCTTGCATACATAGTTACATACATCTCAGAGGTTTTGAACATATATTGTTTTGATAATGGCCCAATACAGAGACCATTCACTGAATTCAGCATTGGACTGGAACAGAAGGTTTTAATTAGGTCCAGGATCTTGCAATGTCATGGACTACTAGAAGACAGGTTAAAGAGGTTATATGCCCTCTATGTACAATATTTATGGATGGCATAGGTATGCTTTTGTCAGTGACAAGATCTATTATGGTCTACAATATCTGCCATCTGCAGCAGTGAAAGGTTGCATATTGGCAGCAAAAACTGCTGTGGCTTTGACTGGCTGGATGTGGCAAAGCTCTAACTACAATTAGATCAACATCTTGTACAATCCTGAAATTATGTGAATGATACAAAAAGAGTTCTGGAAAGTTGCATACAGGAAGCACAAAGCCATTAATGTATCCTTAAAGCATCAGAATAAGACTGCATCATCCCTTTAAAATTTACAAAACTTAATATAGATTAAATTATTTCCCAGATTGAGCAGCTGGATACACACACAAAAATTAGCCCACATTATTATCCCTTATTCCACTAATAAAATCAGTCTCCAAATGTAGAAGCAACGTGCTTCTCACTAGTGCAGGTTTCAGTGTCACTGCCAGGAGAGCTAACTCTGCATTGCTGCATGGGTCAGCCAGGAAGGCTGAGACAACTGCAGAAGACCTGTTAATTCCAATAATAATTTGGATAGCAACAATTTGTTTTCCTTTAACTACTGTCTGACTTTGGGATTCAACAAATTTTCCTCCAACTGAAAAAATTTTCTGAAATTAAATTTGCGTTTGAATACTTCCTTCCAATAATAGAAGTTATCATTCAGTTAATACATCACTAGTTTTAATCCACAGCATCAGAAGTTCTATAAAAGGAAGGAAATAAATTTCTTTATGTAAGAATAATACAGAGGCAACACTTAGCTTTATTTAGGTTAAAAATAACACATTTCAAATACTGTAACTAGTAGAAAAACCCACACCACTTTATTTTTCATATATGAAGCGGATACAAATGTGTATTGTACTTTTTTCTTTTTTTTTTTTTTTTTTTTTTTTTAAATCGCTCAGTTTCATGAAGCTGATTGTTGTAACAATTATTGCAGATGCAGTCGTTGCAAAAATCACCATTGGCAAAGCAATCACAGTACCTATGATTAGTATGTAAATAACATCAGAAATGAAAATATTAACTGGTTTAAGTGTAAATTTTAAAATTTAAATTCTACTTCTAGGAAGAATGTTCAGTTTTTACTCATGAAAAATATACCTTTCTCTGTAATTTAATCACATCAAAACCCAGACAAAGAGCTTCTCTCTCTCTTTCCATTTTACATTTTGCAAAATACAGCCAATCCATCAATGAATCAAACTTTAATTATCATGTATACATTTCTGTGCATGTTATTTATGTATGAAAGCAGCAGCAAGACAGAGGAATTCTATTTTAGTATAAAGCATTTACATTTTACATGGGATTTTCCAGATATGGTGTGAAAAATTCTTCAAGCTTATCTTTTTATTTTTCATACCTTGGATTATAAACAGTAATCTACACCTGTCCACCAAATCTGGAATTTGTGTGACACTAGTTTACATCAGCTGTGAATCCTTCTAACTCAGTATTGGATGAGTAATTTTTAACATGTATTTACTGTTCATTTTAAAGCACACATTTCTTGTATGTTTGTCCTTTCATTTATACACTGTTATTAGCATTTACTAAATGTTGATAAACTATTACTTACAGTTTAAGACACTGAGATTTTGTGCAGTTACATGGTTTCTTAGACTTTGTAATCCCTGAACCAAAAGGTAAGCTACACAGGTTGAAAAAGAAAAAAACAAAGGGAAAAAAAAGCCAAATACAACTACAGTGAAAATGAATACTGATTTTATTTTTTCACACCAATATTGGTGCTACTTAACAGGTGTTGCCTCACAGAGTGCATGACAAAAAGAGAATAAGCAACCTGTAATCTCCCTCTATCCACCAGCTGTCACTACATGGGACAGGTCTGCCCTTAGTCATACAATCCAGTGATGGTTGTGCAGCTGCAAAGCTATCTCACCTTTCACACTGGGGTTGCATCTGCCTCTTATTTAAAAGTGATCTGCAATAAAATATTATTAAAATAATTCCATTAGTGGTAGAAATACAGGCTAAACACATGTTAATTAGATTTGGAAACATATCAATTAACTTAGAAAATTAAACGTTTTTCAGGCAAATGGACAGCACAGTTGCACAGATCCTAAGGAAATCTGAAACCATGAGACATAGTCTTGACTGCCAGCAACTGGCATCATGACTACGAAGATATATACACAAAGCATTCTTAACAAAACTGCATTTTTGTTACAAGAGAGAAGCAGCTATGCAACATGAAAATGTCTAGGAGTAATTACCAGTTAAAAATTCAAAATTCATCATGTATGTAAGATGTTTCATGCATCTTACCCCTCTGAGGTTGTTTTCACTGGCCCGTGCAGATCTGATTCTAGATGGAATGAGGCAGTGCTAGCAACTAGTTGTAAGGGTCCATTTGCCAACTGTTCAAGATAAAACGCATATATATCCTGTTGATGTTAACTTTTAAAAAAATACTGTTGTAAGTTAACAGAGAAAAACTAACACAAAGAAAATGCTTCAGGGATAATTTGATTGCCAGGGTTACTGATAAAAACTCATGGAAGTAGAGAGTCATGAAAACAGCATGCATTTCCTCTTGGAAATAATTCAGTATGTCAGGAATCCCGTTTCTCCTGTCACAAAGAACCAAGAATAACTTTCAGTGTTGCAGTGATGATACACTATTTTCAGTTTACTGATAGTTCTAGAATCAGTTGCTTTTAATTTCAGTCATCAACTGAAACTGGCAAGTGACTTGGTGATTTACATCATGTTCAGCTGCAATATGACATCTAATTAGTTGAAGACTAGGCAAAATTTAAAAAAGAATCTCACAGGCCAAGAAAGCACACTGAAGATCTGTTGTCTCTTCAGATATATGGTTAACAAGGGCTGGTTATAGAGAGAGACAAGGGAAGAGCAATTAGGATTATGCTGATATTACCAGTAATGAAGAGACAGTGAATAATTGTATATCACCGCTATTTAATAGTTGATTAACCTATCTGACCATAAAGGAGAGGGAAATTAATATATTTAAAGCAAAAATAAATCTAGGATTTGGGATAAAGTTAGAGAAGAATTACAAGCCTGTCTACATCACTGTCAAGAATGTTTAGGAACCAGCTTGCAGATACAGCACCCTTAGATATGAAAGATTCCCTAGGTCATTGTTTGAGTTGACCTTTGGGTTTTTGCTTCCCTCTTTTGTGATAGTGGCTGCTATCCACCAATCATTTCCTGTGCTTGTACTGATATCATGTATTTACTTCACACAAATCGAAATTTAACAATGAAAAATTTGCAGTGATTTTTGCTACCAGCTCTGTTGGAAGTAACACATGAGAAGCCAAACATCAGCAAAGATTTTTAGTCTTCTGTTCAATTTTCATCATCAACAACAACAACAAAAAAAAATCAGTAAAAATTATAAAGACTTAATGACTTCTAAATTCTAATTGAGATAAAAGAGTGTTAAAAAAATCCTACTGGAATAAAATATTTGCCACCTTCTGGTAAAAGTCAGTGTGCTTTCCTTCACCCCAACAGAGACTCAGAAATAATATAATCTATATAATACCAAATTCAAGGTTTCAAAACTGGAATTAATTTTTCTTATGGAAAACTGTGGTTTTAATTCTGGTATAACTTTTAGAAATGTTGAAATCGGACACCTTTATATGCAGAAATTATACTGAATGCAGAACTAATCTGTCCAAACTAGCTAAACTGTCTTAGAAAATACACACAATTGTTACTTCCTAACATAACCTTACAATGAATTTTAAGAAAAGGAAAAAGGGTGTATATTGTACCTAACAAGTTTAAAGGATAAAGCTTCTTTACCTCTTGTTCATTTGGAACCAGTTCACCTGGAACAGGCAAAAATTGCCCCAGTACACCTGTTACAGGGATGTCCACACCTGAAAAGGCAACATTTACCTGAAGACAGCAGAACTATTCACAGTGTATAAAGTTGCATTTATGCATGAATATTTTTGTAATTAAGCATACAGGCAAATTGGCATCTTCAATTTCTTTTGTTAATAAAAAAGATTACCTGAGGCCCTCTGTCCTCTGTTAGCACCTCCTCCTACAATTTAGTTTTGAATCCAAACTTACTCTACAATAAATAGTGTCAATGAAATGCCTTGAAGTTTTCTCTCCAGAAATGTTTTTCTCATTGCAAAAAAACAAGAATAAAAACCTGACCACACAAATATCCTTGATAGAAGAGCCCACCACCAATTTGTCAGCTAGAAATTTGAGCACAGGAAGTTTTTACTCTATGACATCAAGTACATTTAAATTAAAATGTCAAAGACATAAAATATTTTTGAAAAATAAGAAAAATGTCAGAAACAATTAAATATATCTATCATTAGTTCTTCTTTTACAAATTTCCAGAGTTCTGAGAGAGCATCTAGAACAGAAGTCTTTAGCTGATGAAAAAAAGTCACTAAAAACCCATGGAGAAAACCATAGCTGTAAGTCTTTGTGTAAGTCCCAGTGAAGAACTGCATGCACTGCACAAAGAACTGCAAGTACATAAGCATCCCAGCCCAGGGAGAGAAAAGCAAACATCAGTCAGATGCAGACATCAGATTACAGTATGAATCTTACATCTATACTCACTTCCTTCCCACCTAAAGAAAGAAAAGAAAAAAAAAAAAGGGAAGTCAAAGGACAGATTAATTCAAAAATTGAAGAGATTAGTCCCTGGAAACTTTTAGATATAATTTCTGGATCTAATTCTTTTATATGTTGTGAAGATGAGTAAAACAGAAGAAAACTCAAGCAAATAAAAACTAAAAAACATATGTCAGCGCATTTCTCATCTTTTTCTTCCCTACCATTACATCAAATGAATGAGAGTTTGAATATTATAAAGGAACATGACCTTTAACTTGAATGTGCCTGGCTTACTCTTCTGATGGCTTCTGACAAATATAAGTAAACAGGCTCCATACCTAGAGCACCCGCTGAGAGATGCTCACACTCAGCACCTATTGATATTAAGAGCAGTATCTGGGCTTCTACGGTACCCAACACTTTTTTTAAAGGCTTTTTTTTTCACATTGCCATCAAAATTCGCCTCTGTAATAAAATTATAATAATAAATAATTAAACGATGTTAATAATGTTCTTGAGGAAGCTATATCCAGGTAAAGAAATATTTCTTTAAATTAAAACTAAACTATACTTTGTTGCTGCTCAGATGAAAATGTGTTACTCCATCTAAATAACACTAACTTTAGGACCTCAGGAACCACTTTCTTTAAACACTGATAGCATTTTAAGTTCACATAATTATGTAAATATTAGTGAGACGTTCTGAATCCCAAGGCAGATGTCTGTTCATAGTCCTCAACATTTCATTTCTGGAGAAACAGTGACACTTGGTGACAAGCTGGGGTAAATGCAAATGTATGCTGGTGTTTATGCTAAATGTCCTTTATGGAAAGTAATTTGTATGTTAAAAACTTTCGATAAATTCAAAATATCCATTACATCATTCGTACTACACTGAAGCACCTAGCAATTTTTCAGTTATAAAGTAAAATAACTGGTGATAGCTACATTACCTTTGGCTCATCTCCCCCTGCTGCTTAAGAACAAAAACACATTAACAATCTATGATATACACTCTGACAGGCCAGAGATAATTTTCATTTTCACTGTACCTGATTGAACGTAATTGTGCTGATCGTGATAGTCAGGGATTAGGGGAACTGGTTTTAGTTCTTGTGTGCCACAACAGTTTATACAGAACACTTGAGTACCTTCTTCCAACTGGCAGATAACCTGGAATGAATAACGAATGGTTATCTTTCATTTAAGAAACTGTAATTCTAAGCATTTAGATATAAAGGTTTTCCTAAGCGTCTTATAAAGCTTATAATCACAGACTGGAATCTCAAACAAATGGATCATTACGCATTAAGATGTTTGCTTTCTGACTCTCAATTTTAATTTATTTTTGGAAGCAGCTATAGAGATCTAACACTGGAGCTCCTCAATCTAGGTGACATGGATTCCTGATTCTCTACATTGCTCCGTGTAGCTTTGTAGAGTGTATTGTGTATTCAAGCTATTTACTAGTGTGCTGGCTTCACATTCAGTTCTCTAACCAGAACATGCCATTGTAATTGTTTGTTTTATTTCATTTATTTAGCTGCAATTTTATATCAAGACTTTTCCTTTGAATGAAGTAGTCTTCAGATTGTTTATTCCCATCTGTTAAATAAATAATAATATGTAATATATATATATAAAGTAGTGCTATACCTAGATAAAATTTAGACTCTGAGTCCAAGGAAGGGACAGCCTTATTCTTGAAACAGCTCTTATTAAGTGGGATTTCCTGATGCTAGTGTAGTACAAATAAGTTAATTTTCTCTAGCATATAATTTTGCTATCAATTACAGGATATAATTACCACAGGGTTGCCATCATTTCTGTATGAACATCTGGATTCCTCTGCTACACTGTGCAATGCTAATAACTTGCAGCCAGACTCATCAACAGTTGAACTCTGAAAAATTGCTCTGTCTTGGTGATTCTCGATAACATTACTAACTGCCTCTCTTACCTCAGCCTGAAATATAAAGTTTAAAATTTTAACAGGCATGATTAAAATCTACTTTAAATTCCAAGCAAATACAATATATATAAAAATGTATCTGCATAAATCATATATTTTAAAGCAAGGATTACATTCAAATGTAATACTGAGAATAGCTAATTTACTTGTCAATGGCAGAATGCTTTTTGCTTACATTTCAAGTAAAAATATTCTTGAAGAATAACAATGAACAGTAACATACTTCACAGTAACAATGGCATTCAGTGTCTCCAACAAGATGAAGCATCAACTGATTTCTAAACTGCCTTGAAGAAGTTAGGCAACAGTCATAGCAAATTATGCAAAACAAGAATTAATCTTGAATTATATAACTTGACTGGGGATCACTGGGATTTAGTCTTAGTAGAAGTAGTCATCAGAGACTGCATTGCAAATCCAGTTGTATCTATAAATCACAGTGTTCCAAAATGAACTTTTTTTACTGTGCTCAACTACTGTGTGTCATGGCATTCCATCATGGATACAGCACCACTTGCATTTGTTAAAAGCCAATTTATCACCTATCTTGCCAATCCATTCACTGTAGTACAGTGTCATCTTCACAAAAGTCACACTTCCAGATGAAGCCTTGCCCCTATCAGTACATGCTTTAAAACACCAGATGGACAACTCTGAAAAACCTGGCTACAAACTTCCAGTAATTTTCAGAAATCATCCTTTCATGAAATACCTGAATTTCCATAGTTTGTCTTGCACATATGTAGGAAATTATATTGGAAAAATTCAAGTATTTTGAGAGAATAATTAAGTTGCAAAGAACATGTCTCCATAGGAAGAGAATGCTAATATTAAAGCTGGATTTTGATCCTCAGATCTGTTCCTTTATATAAATTGCACATATGATAATGGCCAAAGTACTCATCAGCTGCCCAAGGGTATTTGGTGCAGTCGTGCTATGCAGTGTGTTTAGGTGGCCTCAGGAGAAGCCCCCTCCCTAACTGGCCTGAACTGGAACCAGAATGTGCAAGTGGCAGACAGGAGCCAGCCTGACTTGAGCCAACAGAAATGGAAAAAGGCAAAACATGCAGATGCTGTGCTGCCTTCCTCCACAATGTAGCAGTGCAGGAAATCTATGGAGCAACATTTTTCTTTCCCTCTCTTTTGTGAACAGCTCAGACAGGACAGTGTTTGAAAGAACGTTTTACCCTTTGGCACTTAGAATAAATGCCATTTTAGACATTCAATGCTTGGACAGATTCTTCCAATAATAATAAAATCTTGCATGCATACTTACTATTTCATCATAGACAGAAGCACTAGTCTGAGGTAAGCCACAAATATCACTGGAAGATTCTAGTACATAAAATAAAGCATGTTTTGATTACAAAAAGGTCAGTGTTTTATATCAGGAAAGCCTTTACAGCATCAATAAAAGATTTTAATGTCATGGCAGCATTACATTCTTGTGAAAGAAAAACTGAATATTCTTTTGTAACAGACTTACTGGGAAAAACAGACATCAGTGTGGGTCTTTTTTATGTCTTTAAGAGGTTTATTGAGCCCATTTGGTAAAATTCATTTAGCTTCAGGATAAACTACCTTGTAAGATCAAATCTAGCAGTGAGTTTAACCCTGAGCAGGACTGTGAACAGGTTATGGGCAGAACACATCAAACAACTGCTCACAAGCTCACCGTCAGCAGCAGCATCAGTGCAAACCATGCACATTTCATACCTGGTGGTCAAATTTCAAAGTGAAACAAAACCATTATTCAACTCAATCATGGAAAACCTGTGCTGTGAGAAGGAATACCTTCTTCCCAGTCTCCTGAGAGAATGGGGAGGTGTTATGAAAGGAAGGGAAAATCAAAAGTAAGACTGAACTATGTGGTTGAAGCAACATAAACATACATGAACAAACAGTGGTCCATTCTCCTTTCAAAAATTCTTAGGTATATTAACATTATCAGAAAAGGCTCATACTGCAATTTGACAAATCCAGAAATTACTTTATTTAGCTATTTAAATCTTTCCCTAAGCTTACAAGAGAAGAAAAAAAAAAAAAAATCACTCTCAGTCACTCAGAGCACATACCATTTGAGCACATGGCCAAGTTTTGTAACTGCATAGTACTGGTCTGGGTTCCTTGAAATTGATCATAACAAATACAATTATTCTCACCTGCAACTGGAGGCATGTATGGTCTGAACACCTGAAGAAAATAAGGTTTTATTTATAACTATTTCATGCATTAAATAATTTAATTTTAAAAAGCCAAATCAATGAAAATAGACTTAAAGTTACCTTGAAAATCGGAAGTTATATAATTAAGCACATAAATGTTGATGCCTGTTCAGTATTAGTGGATACCATTTTATACCTTGAATATTATTTCTGCTTTTTCTGCTCAACATATGGTTCAGATCTAGTTCATTTACAACTATAAAAGCATCATACTTAATACCTACATTTGTATTTTCAAAAACATATCAAATGAACAGAAAATGGAACAAAGACAGAAACCAACTGCTTTCTAGTTTCAAGTCAAAATTGATTGTTTGAACTAGATGTTTGTTCTCCGTCTGCATGTGCTGTGCTTCCTCTTAATAGCAGTTTTTTAAGGTAACTTAAAGAGCAAGCAGAAGGTCTTGATTATTAAAAACTACTCATAGTATTGAGCATGTGTGTAAACTACCTTCCAAGGCAGGGATAATTTTATACTCTAACAGTGACCTGAAATCAGAAAGAAAACTAAAACATGTAAGGTAATTGACACAGTAGACCTCAAGATAAAATGCCACTGGGAAACACCCAACACACTGGGCTGGGTAGTGTCAGCACGAATTTCTGTGATGGGAGGTTTCCTGCACAGACAGCCCTGCAGCAGCCACCTAGCTTCAGCCTGGCACCTTGCTGGGACACTGCGAGGGAAAATCAGGCCTCGTTATCAACCAAGTGTTTTTTGTCATTTTTGTTTTTAATGCTTTTGATTTTTAAATCTGAAAAAAACACTTTGTCAAAATAGTTACATAGAAAAAAAATGTCAACTGATATGCCTAATTATTTCAGGATAGCTCCTCAAAGGAAACCTCAGTGCCTCTGTTAAAAGAATTGAAATAGCCACAGAGCAAACAAAATTTGGAGATTTCTTCAGATTATATTCTACAGCCATAAACAAAGATGCAAGGAGACAAGTATTCTACATATGAATAGCCTGCATTAAGCAGATGGATTTGGTCCTGTGAGCATCACAAGAAGTTTCATCCTGTGTACCTTTCTAGATAGTAATTGATCAAACATAGAAAATGTAACTGCAAACTATACAGAAAAACTGCCAACTGTGGTAAGCCATGGGAATCCCCTCTCCTACAAAACTACTTTCCCCATGAAGGTTTAACAATACAGGCTACAGTTTACTGCTGCAAATAAATGACTTTTTAACTCATTTGGACTATATATTGTAAGATGACAAGTGTGTCACCTGTGGAACTAAAGAACAAAGTTAATATCCTATTTGTACTTCAGACATTTATCTAATACTTGTTAATACAGATGGTAATATATAAAACCAAATTGAGTATGTTTGTGTCATAGTAAGATTTTTTTAATGAGCAAAATAACTACCCAGCCATTTAAAAATATGGCTCATACCATGGACAAAAAAGAACAGCAGTCAGAACCATAAGGTCACACTGCATGCTATTTCTGGCAATGAAACCCAAAAGTTTCTTTCTATATTAACTACTAAGTCTGTTCTAGTATAAAATCTATGACATAGCTTTAAATATTAGGTGGATCCCATATAAGTTTTAACGTAGCAATTCTCCACATTTAAGTCACAAATAAGCATGAATATAAAAAATCCTTTTTCGCTTAATCTTACTGGTATCATTCTGACATCTTGATTGACTGTTTCTTCTGAAGACAAAATGCTTGAAGTTGGAACACTGTAATTTTTATGCTGCATCGCTATAGAAGAGAGAAAGCGGACACCATCTGAAGGCAGATAAGGTGGATGCATACATTCAGCTTCTGGAAGATTGAATTCCTTATATTTTTCAAGATCATCATCACAGCTGTTGTTTCCATGCGGATGTACTTCAACGTTTACTATTGTATTTTGATTTTCAGTGGTATGCGGATACTTGAAGTGATCTATCAAAGTCTCTCCCACGTTTACAGTGCATAAGTGATTGTCGTGACTAGTTATCAATCCTCCTTCAATGGCATTATTAATTACTGCAGTTTCCAGATTAAAGTTCTCATAACTAACAGGACTATTTTGACTAAATATTTCAGTTACAAGTCCACTCTCTGCTGCTGATCTTAGATCAAGCAATATCTGATGCTCCATAGTTGTGGACAGACTGTCAACTGGTTCATATTTACATTTTCCCTCGAGGATCGCTACATTTTCTATTTCAGTATTCTTCGGAATGGTTTTTCTATCTAGAAGTGAATGAAACAGACCACCAAACAACACATGAAGATCAACCCAATTAGCATGTAACTGAAACTTAAAACCATAACGTGGGAGGGGTTGTTGGGGTTGTGAGCCCAGCTTTCAGAAAACACCGGCCACCGTGCCAACACAAACAAACAAGCTGCTTTTAGTGTAAGAACACATTCTTTGTAACTTTTAAACTCATTACCAGACTTGGATGGTTTTTGCTACTTGGCGTTAGTAGTCAAAGAAAGAATCACATTTGCGATCGCACACTCGGGACAGCTCTGACAGGCCGGTGCGTGTCGGGAAGCAGCACACTAACTCTGCCTCTACTCCCCGTGCCGCCGCCGCCGGTTTTAGACAAGGCCCGGCCCAGCACCCCCGCCCCGAGAAGCCAGGCCGGGACCCATTCCTGGACTTAGACCAGGGCTCCACGGGAGGCCCGAGCCGCCCCGGCCCCGCCTGGAGGGACCGAGCAGCCTCTGAAGGCTCCGGTGTCCCGGTGCCGGCTCTGGGACACGCGGGGCGGCGAGACCGGCCCTGCGGG